ACACACACACACACACACACACACACACTCTCTCTCACACACAACGTTTGCCAAGAGCTGACTTATAATATTTCATTACACTTCTCTACTCAAGTCTCACTGGATTTAGTGATTGAATGAGAGAATTATTCCCTCTGAATGCTACTTAACGTGTAACTGAATGCGGCTTCATTGTGTGTTGGTTAATGGTAGCTCAGAATGTCAGATACTAGAGTATCAGTCCTTTACTGCTTCCTGTGAGAGAAAGTTTAAACATGCTCATGTGCGTCAGATGCTGCTCCTCCAAACATCAGCTACACGGATGACTGAGGAGACACATAAATATATATCCAAACCCTGCATTTGCTAGACGGAACAATCATGCATGTGTTTCTCAACCCTTACTGGAAAAATCAGCTGTAAAAAGCAGCAATATCAAATATAATCTACCAAAAAAAAAAAAAAATCTAGCAATTAATTTATCAAAAATAGAGTCTAAATCACTAATATTGTAAATTATTTTTACTATTTGAAGTAACTGTCTATTATCGAAGAATCCTGGAAAAAATGTTTCAACATTGATAATAATCAGAAATGTTTATTGAGCAGCAAATCAGCATATTAGAATGATTTCTGAAGATCATGTGACACTGAAGACTGGAGTAATGATGCTGAAAATACAGATTTGGTCACAGCAATAAATTACATTTAAACAGATATTCACAGCTATTTTAAACCGTAATAATATTTCACAATATTACAGTTTTTACTGTATTTTTAATCAAATAAATGCAGGCTTGATGAGCAGAAGAGACTTCTTTCAAAAACATTTAAAAATCTTACTGATCCCAAACTTTTGAATGGTAGTGTAACTTATATATTAGAGGTTTTACTGATTGCAATGTGACATTTTTTTAAACTGGGATAAAATCTTCATGCAGTTTCTGCTTTTTGTTACAGCGGACTTTGGAGTTTCAGCAAAAAACACAAAAACTCTTCAAAGACGAGACTCTTTTATCGGGACTCCATATTGGTAAGTGCTATAAATCAGTGATCTGCTGTCATAATCACTTCAGGCAGAAAGGTATGAAGGTTGATCTAATTACAACCTTATTAATATTTACTACAGTCTGTTAATATTTACTGACTGCAAACAGGCTCTTCATGCAAGTCACTAGATAAAAGTCCTATGATAATTAAAAATGTAATATTTCACAAAAATGAGCCATACTTCACCTAAAAAAAAAAAAAAATGCAAAAATAAATTTGTAACATTTTATGTTTTACTTAAAAATAAACGTTATTTTATGCAAAATATAATTATGTAATTATGTAAAACACAATTATAATTAATAATTGCTGGTTTATTACATAACCATTACATATATAAGAACAAATAGACTTTTAAGAAAAATATTAGGGATGCACAGAAATTAATTTCACACCAAAGCACCGAAACCAAAATTAGAGTTTTCATGTAACAGAAAATCGAAAATGAATACATTGTTTATTTAATAATCAATTAATCAAATTTATTTAATCAACACTCAAATAATCAACACTAAATTTAAGTGTTTATAAACATTTTGATTTTTAATTATATAATTGTTTCTACTGTAGTGGCTGTAATAACTTGTTTTCATTTATTCAATCACACGTTTGATAATGAAGACAACAGGATAATTGGAATATAATGAATATGTAGTATAGCTCAAAAATTTAGCAAAATGCTAGAATGCTAAATGACTAACGAGCTATGGACAGCTTTTTAGAGGTAAATGTGAAGTTATGTGACATTGTTTCCAAGCTTTTTTATTGATGTCTTTCTGTGGTTGAAAGATTGAGTAATTACATTCATTTCAGGAAGTTCTTCTGTTTCTTTCAACACCTCATGTTTATTTTGTACTATAGTTAGTAGTAAAGAGGAAGCAATGATCTGTTCATGTGCCGCTTACACTGAGCTCTGATTTAATGTCACTGTTTCGGGTCAATAATTTCAGCCCTCCAAAACGGTTTCAGTTGCTGAAAGTTCAGTGCGTATTATATTTGTGACCCTGGAGCACAAAAGCAGTCTTAAGTCGTTGAGGTATATTTATAGTAATAGCCAAAAATACATTGTATGGGTCGAAATTATCGATTTTTCTTTTATGCCAAAAATCTTTAGGATATTAAGTAAAGATCATGTTCCATGAATATATTTAGTAAATTTCCTACTGTAAATATATTAAAACTTAATTTTTGATTAGTAATATGCATTGCTAAGAACTTCATTTGGACAACTTTAAAGATGATTTTCTCAATATTTGGATTTTTTTGCACCCTCAGATTCCAGATTTTCAAATAGTTGTATCTCGGCCAAATATTGTCCTATCCTAACAAACCATACCTCAATGGAAAGCTTATTTAGATTTCAGATGGTATATAAATCTCAGTTTCGAAAAATTGACCCTTATGACTGGTTTTGTGGTCCAGGGTCACATATGTAATCATGTAATCCATAAAAAGTAACTGTAATCTGATTACAAGTACTTTTTTATATTCGATTACTTGTAATCGGTTACTACCTAGCACTGCTGGCTAAATATCTGCATATCTGTCTTTTAATACTCGTCTCCTTACTGGGAATGCATTCAAGCTCTTTGGTTTTGCTCTAACCGGCTCTGAGGCGGATCGTTCCTGATGTCTCCTGTATGTTCAGGATGGCTCCAGAGGTGGTGATGTGCGAGACCATGAAGGACGCTCCATACGACTACAAAGCCGACATCTGGTCACTGGGCATCACGCTGATCGAGCTGGCTCAGATAGAGCCGCCTCACCACGAGCTGAACCCCATGAGGGTCCTGCTAAAAATCGCCAAGTCTGAGCCTCCCACCCTGCAGCAGCCTGCCAAGTGGTGAGCCACAAAGATTTCCTTCCAAAGATGAGCGTAACTGGGGCTTTTTTCTTAGATTTATAGCTTTTAACATTTCTAGAATATGACTGAATGTTGAAAAGGAATGACTGTCAAATGTTATTTCATCACTATTGCACAATAAGAGATCGTATCCCCCTCTCGGGCGAATGTTTAATGGTTTTGTATATTTTAGGTCAATGGAATTTAACGATTTCCTGAAAAAAGCTTTGGACAGAAACCCTGAGACGAGGCCGACGACTGCTCAGCTTCTAGACGTAAGGCATTTCACACATACACTTCTCATGTGGAATTTAATGCATTTCGAGACGGTATGTGTGTGCAAATGAATGCACATGAAGGAAACGGCTACGGAAAACCCCAAAACGGCTTCCTATCCCGCTGGATGAAGGGAATTAGAGCAATTTGCGTTCTTCCTTTGGTATATTTCTCCACCTCCACCCCATCCGCTGAGCAAAACAAAATGAAAAAGATCATGTACAGTAGATGTGCTGTTTTGAAAACAGCCCAGAATAGTCCTGAACTGGCGTCAAAACGTGCCGTAAGTTTTATTTGAAGCAGCAACACGATAGTTTGCATCAAATCGTAAGAACGATGATCTGACCAATTCAAATCGCAACCCACAAATCTTCAAACCACTTTTCCTTCAGTGGATAATTTACTCTTTGTAGCTTTTACGTTTATTAGTAGTTTTCTTTCCCTGTATTAATTACAAGTATATTATTAAATGTTACACGATGGTTCAGAGACGAAGAGGGGTTTTCATGCAAAACAATAAAAAGTTTAATACAGTTTTAATTTTTATTTATCGTACGTTACAATGTGTCCAGTTAATTTTTATGTTTTTCTGAGCAAAAAATATTGACTTTTTTTTTTTTTACCATGATTTACAGAAGACACCCACTAAAATGTCATTCATTGTAACAATTATGCGTCATTAGAAGGCTCTATTTTGGAATCACAGCGAAGCCCTAAAATCTAATAAATTGTCCTTTTAAATCTTTGCCAGTCTTGTAAACAGTACCTGTTTTTCCGCAAAATGTTGTTAATCTTTGAAAATATAATAAAAACTTTTATGATCACTTTCTCTTAATATATTTTAATAACTACAGGTAAGAATAAGTATGTTGTTTCATTTTCGCATTAATATATCTTTGACGCTGAATTATGATGGAACATTATTTCACTCATATTTTGCCATTTCATTTTCACAAAAGTTATTTGGAACATTAAAGTAGACAGTTTAGTTGCATTTAATATGCTTTCTGTGTGTATAAAATCACTTTTGTAAATTTAATTTGATGCAGATATCAAAATTGGACGTCTTGTGTTTGAGCCATATTTATTTATTTATTTTTACATTTAATAATTTATTTGTAATTCCTACATAAACTACGAATAATTTTGTGGCTGGTCAATTCTCTCGCTGTTGGCACGCGTGTTAAAAGTTAATTCTGGGCATCTGCAGAGCACAAAACTGAATATAAAGGAACTTCAGCTCATTTTCTGATAGCACTCTCTCTTCTGGGTGTTTCATAGTACATATTCATTTAACGCTCTGCTGCATACAAAGCAGCCTGGAAGACAGGTGTTTGTTGGGCTGAAGGTGACATTGATATGCGGTACATGCTTTTCTGTGAAGAGTTGTGTGCTAAGTTCATATATCATTGTTAGATCCTGAGTGCCAAACATTTACTGCAAAGTCAAAGTCTTTATAGGCCGGTCTGTAGTTTAAACTGATCATCAAAACTAAAGTGGAGGTCAAGAGACCTTAACATGCATTTAAGGGCATCATATGAATGTTCCACAAAGGCAACTTTTATACAAAGTCAGTGTTAGCTATTTTCTGCAGACTATGAATTGGGAAGCAATTAATGATGCATGTCGTGTGAATTGGGATGCATTGGCTGTAGTTTCTTCATTGGCTGAAGTTTCTTCATTGGCTGAAGTTTCTTCATTGGCTGTAGTTTCTTCATTGGTTGTAGTTTCTTCATTGGTTGTAGTTTCTCCATTGGCTGTAGTTTCTTCACTGGCTGTAGTTTCTTCACTGGCTGTAGTTTCTTCATTGGTTGTAGTTTCTTCATTGGTTGTAGTTTCTCCATTGGCTGTAGTTTCTTAATTGGTTGTAGTTTCTTCACTGGCTGTAGTTTCTTCATTGGTTGTAGTTTCTTCATTGGCTGTAGTTTCTTCATTGGTTGTAGTTTCTTCACTGGCTGTAGTTTCTTCATACATTGGCTGTAGTTTCTTCATTGGCTGTAGTTTCTTCATTGGCTGTAGTTTCTTCATACGTTGGTTGTAGTTTCTTCATTAGTTGTAGTTTCTTCACTGGCTGTAGTTTCTTCATTGGCTGTAGTTTCTTCATACATTGGCTGTAGTTTCTTCATTGGTTGTAGTTTCTTCATTGGTTGTAGTTTCTTCATTGGCTGTAGTTTCTTCACTGGCTGTAGTTTCTTCATACATTGGTTGTAGTTTCTTCACTGACTGTAGTTTCTTCACTGGATGTAGTTTCTTCATACATTGGCTGTAGTTTTTTCATTGGCTGTAGTTTCTTCATTGGCTGTAGTTGTGGTAATTGATATTGCTGGCTGTATGTTTTTAACGCTTGACTCGCCCTCACATACGCTCGGCAGCTGGGACGCTTTAATTAAACAAGGTGCAACTCAGCTGAATAATAGATGAGAGCAGTGTTTCTCTCCATTACACTGCTGCTTTCACAGTTCAGTTAAAGTCCTCAGTACCTGAGCACCGCACAACCTTCATCTAACTCAGCTCTTCTCCTAATTAAACCCCAGACTCTCTCAAGAACTTATTATTATTTTTTTTTTTAATGAACTGCCAATTTTGCTGATTTAAAGTGAAATAACATGCTAACAAGTCCTACAACAATCTGAGAGGTCAAGGATGGGCATTTCTGCCCAAACCACATGACATTAATGAATATGACCATTTTTTTTTAAATCATATTCCACTACCGCAGTGTTTCCCAAATTGGGGATTGTGAATTGATGTAAAGATAATAATGAATTAAATCATAAAAAAAATTAAATGACAACGAATAATTATTTTAAAATAAAAATAAACAAAATAAAACACCAACTAAAAATATTAAATATTTTATTTGTTTATTTGTTTGACCATTAACCACCATCAGAAAACCATGCAAATGTAAATTAGTTGTTAAATTATTGAAAGATGAATTTTAAAGTAAATATTTAAGGTCAAAGGGGTTCAATCATTTTTATAATTATTTTCTAAATATTGAGTCCAAATATTTGTGAACTAAACTGAATAAAGACCATTTCAGATATGAATACTTGCTCTTACCATTTAATTTGATTGTGTTTCTTTTCTAAACATTGCAAAGCCACATGAAATTTGAAATCTGTTTACGGTTTGACTACCAAAAAAAGACACATAATCAAAACAAATAAAGTCCCCCAATTTCAATTCTCCAGCCCATGTTATTTGTGCATGCTGCTTAATGTGACATGTTATTGTTATGCACAATGACTAACTGTTTTGGAGTTTGTACTGCTATGTATAATCTTTCCACGTGTGTGCTGTGTTTCAGCATCCTTTCGTCAGTTCGGTGAAGACCAACCGTCCGCTGAGAGAGCTGGTGGCCGAGGCCAAAGCCGAGGTGATGGAGGAGATCGAGGACAATCATGAAGAAGGAGAAGACGAGGACCCTGCTGACCTCTCATCTGTACGGGTCTGACATCTCTCACTCATCACCCCCCCCCAGTGTCTCTGTATCACACATCTCTCAGTATATGCAGATAGAGGGTACAAATAATGCACTGCTCATGGAAAAGTGCTCAGGGCGTAAAGAGAGACATATTTGTTTAGTGCTTTGACAACTGCAATTGTTATTGTATGGAAAGTTTATTCCATGATTCAGTGCGGGTGTATCCGTGAAAGACAAAAGCAGTGCAAACATGCCAAGAACTCGATGAGTTATGCAGATATGTTCTCATTTTGGTTATGTAACTCTTACCATTGCTACGATGTATACAGTAAGCACATTTTTTGTACGCATAAAATACTGGATGATCATTGCCAAAATTAGATGCATGCAGCAGTGCAGGGAATGCTGTGTCCCACAATGCAATGCATTGATGAATTAATTACAGCCAGAACTCTTAAACACTTCCAATGCGGTCTCCCATCCAAGTGCTAACCGAGCCGAACTTTGCCAAGCGTCCAAGATCAGATCAGATTGTGCATTTCCCTGTTTGTATGGCCATAAGCTAATGTTTCACTCAATAGGAAAAATGTCTTAAAAAGGCCTTACAAAGTCTTAATTCACTCTTCCACAAATTAATGCCTTAAAAAGGTCTTAAATCACTGCAAAAGGTCCTCAATTCTTAGTCATGGCAATAAATGTTGCATGCATTGCAAAAAATGAATACCTTGCTCAGTATTTTTTTTTCTTGGTTTACTAATACATATATCTAAACATGCTAAACTCAAGATACTTGGGATGCAGAATGAAGATATGAAGTCTTGTTGAACATAATTGAGTTTATGCTAAAAACAAGAACAGATCTGTCAATGGGGTTAAAAAACTTGTTTTCCCTTTGAATTAAGTAGATTTTTTTTCTGAGCCTGCTGGCAGATATTTGTTTTTGTTTTAATCATAGACTCACTTCATTTTGATAATTTTTCAGAAAACGAGACTCGTGTCATTTTGCTTCTCAAGTAAATCTATCTTGATTTAAGAATCTTTAGACATTTGCACTGGAAAGCAAGACAAAAATGCTGAGTAAGAACAGCACTTTTTGCAGTGTTAATCAGAAGATACATTTTACATTTATGCATTTGGCAGATGCTTTTATCCAAAATGACTTGCATTGCATTCAAGTCAGACATACATTTTATCAGTTCTCGCTTTCCTGGAAATCGAACCCATGACCTTGGTGTTGCAAGCATCGTGCTCTTCTGTTTGAGCTACAGGAAGGTACAGTAAAAATGATTTCCATATTCTAATGTTTCAGACCAGAACTGTTCAAATCAAAGCAATTTTTTGTATAATAAATAATGGAGATCTGTTAAAAGTTGTATATTCAAACTTTAAAGTGTTGCTGTACAACTCATAGTAGATGATTTTTTATTAAGGGAACATATTGACATATTACGTTCCCTTCAGTTTATTCCTTAAATTGCCTTGTTCTTAAAAAGGTCTAAAATCTGTAGAAACCCTCCAGCAGGGTTGCCAGGTGTGCAAAACAAAAGCAGCCCAATTGCTATTCAAAACTAGCCTAATCGTGTTTTTCCATGGTTTTCTCCTCTGTTGGGGCTCCACTCAGTCAAAATAGAGTTCCAGGGGTTGGGGGGAGATAACTTTAATCCGCAGACTAAAAAACAACCTGCGGCAACAGTGTAAAAGTAGTCCGATTCTGCAGTAAAACCAAGGACTTGGCAACCCTGCCCTCTAGTTTCCCATTGCAAAAAGCACTGGGCGCCACGACACCTTGATGTAGCCTTCAAAGCACAATATTGTTGTAGCGTCTCTTCCGCTCATGTAATCTGACTGTAACAGAAACTGTGTCCCCACCCAACTTTCACATCCATTTAAAGATCTATTCTAGGCCGCTCACAGTAAATGTGTTGACATGGCACAATGTGCTCCAAAATAACCCTTAATACACTTACGCTTCTCATCTGGCCTTCATTTAAAAATGAAACAAAAGACATGCCCTCTACATTTCTTTAGAGTTAAAGCACAGGACAATAGGACAAAGGGTGAAGGCATGCAGCTGTGTATGAGTTTACTGTCAGTATGTGGCCTGCCGCCAACTTTAGCCTCTTTATTAACAACACTACATCATCTCTATGTGTTTTCTCAGTCAGTTTTAGTACCGGGGAAACCATTGCATTGCTGGTTTACTCTGACAAACCGTAGTAAACCTGTGAAGCTTGACCTCCAAGTGTGACAGATGCAATACTTCACAATGGGACTGACAGAAGAAAGAAATAATGTAATTGTCAGGCCTTTACATCCCATAAGCCGCTTTCTGTCTGTGTTCTTTCTAGGCCCCCATCAAAGACCCATCAGAAACCAGTGAGACCAGTTTATACGGGGACCATCGCCACAATGAAGCTCCAATGGAGTTTGAGGAGGAGCCCAGGACCTCTGTGTCCACCGAAACTCCTTTGAAAGAGCAGGAGGACGATCTCAGCGACAGGTTTCCAGAGGAGGATCACGACAAACCTGAGAGCGAGGCGTCAGGCAAGACCTCCAGCTCTGACTCCGGCATTGAGGATGGAAAAAGTACGCCCACCTCCGAGGAGGACGCCAAGGCAGTCGAGAGCACCGAACCAGAGCTTCCCTTGCTGAGAACAGCAGAACCTTCAGAGTCATCCGAATCTTCCTTGGTGGCACCAGAGAAACCGGAAGAACCGGAGAAGGAAGATGCTCACAGTGCAAGGGAAATGCCTATCCAGCAACCGCACGCCATGCTGAACCGAACCGAGTCCAAGGAGCCGAGCAATCGCATGTCTGAAATGAGCGACATGTCCTCTTTGGCTGGCGAGGATGTGGAAAGTTTGCTGCCTCATGCCAATGGCAGGTTATCAAAACGATACTCTGATGTGACGAGTGAGAACATGGACATCAGCCTGAACCTGTCCGGGGATATGTCCGTCAACAAAGACTTGGGCACCATCTCTTTACGGGTGAGTCTGTGTTTGAGGCATGTTTTCGTATAAATTGGACGTGTTTGCTAAAATCCTCTCCAGTAAGTTCTGATGTGAAACATTTACCAGGGCTCCGGACACACTACATGATTTAGCCTTGATTTTCTGAAGGTTAATGGAGATTGCAGACAAAAGCCCAAAATTTGAAGGCAAATCAGTGCTCGCTCACATGAGAAATGATCGCAATGCTTGAATTACCAAAGACTGAGGGAACTGAGGGAATCGCTGATGCATCACTGATGCACAGGAGATATTAAACAGGTTAAACATCTGGATTTCTCTGCAGTCCAGATCCTGTAGTGTGAAATGCGTTTCGACTGGAACTGATATCCAGATTCAGTCAGAGCGAGTCTCTAGTTAACAACTAACCGATTCGAATTATCCGGTCAGAGCGAGTCTCTAGTTAACAACTCACCGATTCGAATGATCCGGTCAGAGCGAGTCTCTAGTTAACAACTCACCGATTCGAATGATCCGGTCAGAGCGAGTCTCTAGTTAACAACTCACCGATTCGAATGATCCGGTCAGAGCGAGTCTCTAGTTAACAACTCACCGATTCGAATGATCCTGTCAGAGCGAGTCTCTAGTTAACTACTCACCGATTCGAATGATCCGGTCAGAGCGAGTCTCTAGTTAACAACTCACCGATTCGAATGATCCGGTCAGAGCGAGTCTCTAGTTAACAACTCACCGATTCGAATGATCCGGTCAGAGCGAGTCTCTAGTTAACAACTCACCGATTCGAATGATCCGGTCAGAGCGAGTCTCTAGTTAACAACTCACCGATCCGAATGATCCTGTCAGAGCGAGTCTCTAGTTAACTACTCCCCGATTCGAACGATCCGGTCAGAGCGAGTCTCTAGTTAACAACTCACCGATTCGAATTATCCGGTCAGAACAAGTCTCTAGTTAACAACTCGCCGATTCAAATTATCCGGTCAGAACAAGTCTCTAGTTAACAACTCACCGATTCGAATGATCCGGTCAGAACAAGTCTCTAGTTAACAACTCACCGATTCGAACGATCCGGTCAGAGCGAGTCTCTAGTAAACAACTCACCGATTCGAATGATCCAGTCAGAACAAGTCTCTAGTTAACAACTCACCGATTTGAATTATCCGGTCAGAGCGAGTCTTTAATTAACAACTCACCGATTCGAATGATCCGGTCAGAGCGAGTCTCTAGTTAACAACTCACCGATTCGAATGATCCGGTCAGAACAAGTCTCTAGTTAACAACTCCCCGATTCGAATGATCCGGTCAGAGCGAGTCTCTAGTTAACAACTCACCGATTCGAATGATCCGGTCAGAGCGAGTCTCTAGTTAACAACTCACCGATTCGAATGATCCGGTCAGAGCGAGTCTCTAGTTAACAACTCACCGATTCGAATGATCCGGTCAGAGCGAGTCTCTAGTTAACAACTCACCGATTCGAATGATCCGGTCAGAGCGAGTCTCTAGTTAACAACTCACCGATTCGAATGATCCGGTCAGAGCGAGTCTCTAGTTAACAACTCACCGATTCGAATGATCCGGTCAGAGCGAGTCTCTAGTTAACAACTCACCGATTCGAATGATCCGGTCAGAGCGAGTCTCTAGTTAACTACTCACCGATTCGAATGATCCGGTCAGAGCGAGTCTCTAGTTAACACCTCACCGATTCGAACGATCCGGTAACGATCTGGTCAGAGTGAGTATATTTATATTAAATTTATTATATTATTAATATTCCATGAATATTGCATTAAATATATTACACGAGTAAAGGAATATAATTATAGTAATTGTTAATATATGGCACTTTTTGCATTTGTCTAGGCAGTTTTTTTGTGTCCTTTTTTGTAATTTCAAAGTTTTTTTCAGTTTTTTTGTAGTTATTTATTTTTTTTTAGAAACCATATAGTTAGAAAACATATAGTTATTTTTAGCATAGTAAGAGACATACATGGATTTACCTGTGGTAATGGAAGAAGAATGTTAAAGTCCTAACTCATTTGCACTGTCAGAATATAACATTTTTAACCCTTAATATTATATATATATAATATTACACTTCTATCTGCATCCCTAATCAACTCAATGCTATACTGTTAATAGTTATAAATTATAAGGATAGTTATAAGATTTTTTCATACTATGAAAGTCAATGGCTACCAGCAACTGTTTGGTCTCCAACATACTTCAAAAAAATCTTCTTTTATGTTCAGCTAAAGAAAGAAACTGGGTGACTAAATCATGTTTGGGTAAACTATACCTTTAAATGTGCATTTCCAAGTTACAAAAAATTTAATAGTATATTAGTAACTGCACTTATGAAATACGAAAGTAATTTTATGATTGTAATTCCCTTAAAACCTCAACTCCCCTTCTGGTGCAACCAAATCGTGTGCTGGATCTGTAAAACATGGATCCCTGCATAGAACACCAATGACAAACTTGGTGTTTAACACTCCTGCTTTTACTAATACTCTGACTTGCGTACTCTTTCGCTATGTGCTGGTCTGTTTACCGTCTCAGTGCCAGCTGCGCAGCAGAACAGAGCCCTGTTTATGAGAGCTGGTGGACGGTTCTGGAGCGTGGGGCAGTTCTGGGTGGGTAGTTACTCTCAGCAGTACAGAGTGTAGGTACAGAGCTCAAACCGGGTGTGGACGCTGTCAAACAGAGCCGAGTCTGTCTGCAGACACCAGCAGAAACCGCTCCCATCCAAACCATCCTTACCGCACCCGCTTCAACTCTGTGCTGAGAGACGGACGAATGAGTGTGCTTCTGCATATATTCAGACAAACCAGAAATGTGCTGAACTTTGCTTAGCATTGTCAGTAAAATTATTAAAATGCCCATTATTATTAGGATACAATGGGGCTAAAGACACACCTTAAGAAAAAATGTGCTATTCACTGCGCCTAAAATGTATATATGCAGAAAAAATATATACGTTTGTATTAATGTACATTAATGGAGCAACATATTTTGTGTGAAAATAAATCATACAAGTCGTTTATTTTGTTTAAACATCTTATAAATATATGAGGTGGGTTTACCACACACGCGGTAAAAGGCACACAGTATTGATACAAATACTTCAGCTAAAATAATGTTTTTTTTAATAATGTCTAAGTTAATATTTGTTAAACAATCACTTTAGCAAAGTTTGTACTATTTTCTGCTTATTTTGAAAAAAATAAAATAATTTTATTTCAATAAAATACTGTAATTAAAATGTTAATCTAAAAAATATATATTGTAAAATACAGAAACAAAATCATTTTAATAAGTAAAGATTCTGAAAGCACTGAAGGAGATCCAATAATAATTGAATATATTTACAAATGATATTTTATTAAATGATATGATTAATATCATGTTTTTAAATATGATGGTTTCATTCTAAACATGGTGATTATCTCTAATATGGACACTCAACATAATATATGATATTTACCATCTGAATCTAACTATGTCATGTCAACAAATGGAAAAGTCAGCCATCTATTAATTATCATGTTAATTACTGTGTCCCTTTAGCCCCAACAGCAGGGGCACTTTTTACCCCAAATACCATACTTTTACATATTATTTCGTTATTTAAAAACTGTTGATTTAATTATCTTAAACAAAACTGAAAATCGTTAAGCAGACCTCTGTCTCAAAATACAAGCATTTTAGCGATTCTCGTTTGCTACTTAAATCTACAACATTTTAAAAAACATAAAATATTAGATCAAGCAAGCACAGAATCAACTTTGCGCTGCGGCTCGCCATTGCGTCAAGGATCAGACAAATATACACGTGCATCTTGAAAAGCGGATGTTTTGGAAAGTGCTACGCCACGTTTTTGTGCCATCTAGTGGTTTAGATGAGAATAATATCAAAGGCTCCTTTAGCCCCGTTGTACCCTACTATTGTTGCATTACAAGTAACACATGTTACATAATCAGATTACTTTTTCAAGTAACTAGTAAAGTAACTAAATACTTTTTAATTTACTGAAAAATATTTGAGTTACTTTTTCAAATAACACCAGTTACTTTGTTATCCATGCATTGACTGACAGCTCTCCAGTCCGCATGTTGAGATAAATCAGGAGTGTGTTCAGAGGTGTTGTGTGCGCTGTGTGAACATGTTACTGTAGTTCTAGACTAAATGAGAACATGCATTTACTCATCTCACTCATACAAAAACAGATTCAGTATTCCTCGAAATCAGTAAAAACTGTCAAATGCAAACTCAGAATATGACACTAACCTGCAGTAATTAAATGTGTTAAATAACACAAATATCCTTTATGTATTTAATCCCATTTTATTAACAAGTGTCTTTGCTGCTGACCTTCGATGAGCCAATTCAACCACACTAATAAGCAAAAATGACTTTATATAAACACATTTGTTTCATTTTTTAATTGCTGAAGAGTGCTGAACTTTCTTCTCCTGCGTCCTACTCTTCATGTAATCCAGAAGGTTTGTTTGAGCTGCGCCCTCTACTGTACAGACGTGAAGTTACATTTCATTAATTTAACTCTTGGTGTGAAAGATCCTTTACATTTGCCAAAAATAGAACTTTTTATATTGAAAACAAACAAGCAATCCGAGCCCAGATTAGAAAAAGTAACGCAGAAGTAACATTACTTTCCATAAAAAGTAACTAAGTAACTAATGCAATTAGTTACTTTTTTAGGGAGTAGCACAATATTGTAATGCATTACTATTAAAAGTAACTTTCCCCAACTCACTGACTATTACGAGAATTCACTTTTAAAACTAAAAACAGTCAGTACTGTTGTGCCGAAGTAGATCGAATGATTTTGCAAGCATCTTGGAAAAGTCCTTGAAAGAGACTCACCAAGTAGCATGGCCAAGCGACAGCCCTGTAATTTATTGACAACCCTACCATTTACGTAAGTCATAATTTCTATTCTGTAGGTTTAACAAAGCAAAATCTTGCCAAAAAAAAGGAAGTGTTTCCAAGGTATCCGAAAACCTGCTTTAAGTAGTCAAGTCAGATTTATTTATATAGTGCTTTTCATAACACATTGTTTCAAAGCAGCTTTGCAGAAAATTGTGATGTTAATGTTTGTAGCATTTTAATATTTTCACGCCTTACAGTCCCATTTCGCAGTTAGAGCTGGCTGATAATGAGGTTTACATTTTTGTGACAATACAAGCAATCAAGCAGCTGTGATTTGCTATATAGTATACATCATCACCCTAAATGAGTTTCTTGTGTGTATGCGGAGAAACGTGCACATATTTCTATATCCAGCTTTATATAATGAGCTGGATGATAATATAGTTACATTTTGTGATGATATAACAATCAAGCAATTGTGATTTGCTTTATATATTATATAATGCTTTACCTGAGTGTACTGCATGTATGTAATCATCATTGATGTACCAAAACAACTGCATCACTCAGAAAACAAGCAGATGATAACAGCTGGGATGAGTTATGAATTATTTATTACTGTCTTTAAGCCCCTCCTGGAGCATGATAAGGCTTACATTTAAACGACTCACAATAAAACGTGTCGATATACACTACCATTCAACAGTTTGGGGTCAGGAAGATTAAAAAAAAAAAAATTAATAATTTATTTTATTTACTTTTTTTTTTTTTTATTTCAAATAAATGCCATTCTTTATACTCATCAAATAATCCTAAAAAAAAAAGTGTCACATTTTCCACAAAAATATTAAGCAGCAAAGCCATTTTCAACTATAATAATATTTCTTGAGCAGCAAAGCAGCATATTAGAGTCATTTCTGAAGATCATGTGACACTGAAGACTGGAGTAATGATGCTGAAAATACAGCTTTGATCACATAAATAAATTATATTTTAAAACATAATTATTTTAAAACACAATATTACTGCTTTTTTCTATATTTTTGATTAAATAAATGCAGCTTTGATGAGCAGAAGAGACATCTTTGAAAAACATTAAAAATCTTACTGATCCCACGGCAGTGTGTATATATACATATATATAAATCCGTAAAATTTACGGTAAAAACTGCCAGCTGTGGTTGCCAGAATTTTACCATAAAAAAATACGGTAGCAACATTTTAGTTTTACAGATTTAATTTAAACATACATTTAAAAACTGTATTTCATTAACTGATATAATGTTAATATGCCAACCTCTTGAAGTACTGAAATCTGTTTAGTATCTTTGTAATACACTGATAACCATCAAAAACAGCTGGTGATGAACCACAGCTCATCACAAGCAGCTGAGAAGGAAAATACTAATATATATATATACGCACTGTAATCTTCAGAAACTGGTTTTGAACCCTGAACATTACTTTAAATGAAGTCATTCATTCGTTGCATATTTCAAGCGGCTCATCTGTGAAGTCACGTCAGATTTTCCATCCATTCCTCCTCTGCTGCATTCAGCATTGTGCATCAGTCTCTATGTGATGATTGTTTAGGGCACCAGAGAACGGCCTCATTTCTCACGTCTGCCAATTTTCCAGCATGATTCAGACATTGAGCTTTCTCTTGTCCTTTAGTTCTGATACTGCACGATCAGAATGCTTCAGCAGGGGTTTTAGCAAACACTGGTGCATGCTCGCTGCATCGTGGCGAAACCTGCGGCTTTATCTCGCAGAAGCCACATCACAGGACACAGATACAGGCATAAAAATGACAGACCTGTTTGCTCAGCTGCGTTCAATAGACTCAGGTCTGAGGATCATTTGTCGATGACACGATCCAATAAAATACGATTTCAACAGTGTCTGATCAAATTCAACGAAACCACAAAGCATCCAGATATTTGACTTCTTTGTCGTTTGTTTTTCAACAAATACTACCGTGATGTTTAAATATTCACAATCTATATAATATATATTTTTTCTCTTTTTTGTGCTCTCGTTCACGTTCTGCTCATGACTTCCTGTCTGAACTGGCTTTACAGGAAAACAGCAATCTCACTGCTTCCTGTTCACATCCTTCACACGGTTTTGCTTTCTCATTTCGTCTTTCTTGCTCCAATTCAACTGTTCATTATGCCTCTGGCTCTATCAATCAGTGTTATTTTAGGATATGCATGCATGTATCTATCTATATTAATATATATGTATACGCTAATGTTCAAAAGTTTGGGATCAGTAAAATTTTTTATGTTTTTAAAGAAGTTTCTTCTGCTCATTTATTTGATCAAAAATACAGAAAAAACTGTAATATTCTGAAATATTATTGCAATTTAAAATAACTATTTTCTGTTTTAATATATTTTAAACTGTAATTTATTTCTGTGATTTAAAGCTGTATTTTCAGCATCATTACTCCAGTCTTCAGTGCCACATGATCTTCAGAAATCATTCTAATATGCTCATTTATTATCTGTTTTTGCTGCTTCATATTTTTTTGGAACCCTTGATACTTTTTTCAGGATTCTTTGATGAATAAAAAGTTCAAAAGAAAAGCATTTATTTAAAATATAAATATTTTCTAACAATATAAGTCTTTATTATTACTTTTTATCAATTGAACACATCCTTGTTGAATAACAGTATTAATTTCTTTCAAAAAAAGAAAGAAAAAAAACATACTCACCCCAAACTTTTGAACAGTAGTGTATATTGTGACAAAAGATTTCTATTTCGAATAAATGCTGTTTATTTATTTTTTTAATTAATCAAAGAATCCTGAAAAAAAGTATCACAGGATCAAAAAAATATTAAGGAGCACAACTGTTTGACCGTAATATTTCACAATATTACTATTATTGTATTTTTGATCAAATAAATGCAGTCTTGATGAGCAGAAGAGAAAACAAATCTTACGGACCCCAAACTTTTGAACGGTAGTGTGCAGTTTTTTTTTTAAATAAAACTTTGATAATTTTAGTAGTTAAACTAAATTAAATAAGAACTGCTGCATTGGCATATACCTCATATAAATATGTTAAAGTATTCAGTTAACATTAATTTTATTTCAATTAACAAATACATTTTTAATGGTTTGTTTAATAACCGTACTAGCAAGTCCTCCTTCTGCATGTCGTTCTTTTCTTTTCTTTTCTTTTCTTTTCTATGTTTTTTAATCCACAGTTCCCTAAAATCCTGCTACCACACCCATTACGGTCTACCATTTCTCTCTCATTTGTTTTTCCTCCAGGACTCCAAGAAGACGCTGAAACGCACGCGTAAGTTCTTGGTGGATGGTGTGGAGCTGAGCGTCACCACCTCCAAAATCATCACTGATGACGAGAAGAAAGACGAGGAGATGAGGTTCCTCAGGCAAGTTCACTCTCTTTAGTCAAACTCTTAAGAAAAAAAAAACCCTAGCAACATTTTTCCACTTGATCTTGCATCTTGGCTGAGTAAACAGACTATTTTAGGCCTCAGGTCCAAGACCTCGTCCTTTCCGAATGGGACATAAATACACAAGGGAAGCTTTGTGTAGAGCCAGAGGAAGTGAGCCGCTTTTAAAGGACAAATCGAGAGATCAGATCTCCCTTCAACAGATAAATCCATCAGCTGGATTCTTGTGAAACTGCTCTTTTCTGGTGAAACACCTCAGCTGCTGGTAGTAGATTATATATGATGTGTTTCCCACCACACACAAACACTGTGCACGTCTGCTCACAAAAACTACAACACTTCTGTCATCTAGTGGTGTGATGGTGAACTTACATGAGATATTTTATCCATCAGCTGACCTCAGAAAAGAGCACCGCTTCATCTCAGTCTCACAAAGAACACATCCAGGTCATATTTTACCCTAAAATCAAGATTATATATATATATATATACACACACACACACACACACACTCTCTCTCACACAGTTTGGGATCAGTAAGATTTTTTATGTTTTTTAAAGAAGTCTCTTCTGTTCAAGGCTGCATTTATTTGATTAAAATACAGAAAAAAACAGTAATATTGTGAAATATTACTACAATTTAAAATAATGGTTTTCTATTTTAAAATACTTTAAAATATAATATATTTTTGTGAGTTAAAGCTGAATTTTCAGCCTCATTACTCCAGTCTTCAGTGTCACATGATCTTCAGAAATCATTCTAATATGCTGATTTATTATCAATGTTGGAAACAGTTGTGATACAAATTTTCAGGACTTTCAGATAGCATTTATCTGAATTCGGAATCTTTTGCAACATTATAAATGTCTTTACTGTCAGTTTTGATCTGTAATGCACCTGTTCTGAATAAAAGTATTACATTCTTTAAAACAAACCCCAAACGGTAATGTATACTTAGTTTATTGCGATCTTTAAAGTATAAAATCACTTATATATCCTCATGTGTAATAAAGTATATGTTAGAATATATATTTGGGTAGTTGACATGACAAGACAGCAGTGATATACTATATCTAAAACTATTTTTAAAAAATTCTAATTTTGTGTAGTTGAGTAATACTTTTAATTATGTTTTATTACATATTGTTTAAAACTTTTTGTTTTAATATATTAATTGGTTACTTGGAATATAGTTTCTTAGAACTATTTGAGCGAAATGAAATGATGACCAACATGTAATATACAATGAACCATTTTTTCACATTTTTTCACATTTTTCCGCATTTCCACACTTCAACCTATAGTCTAGATGTTGAAAAAATCTGATGTCCTAGTTATTTGTCAATTACCCATTACATCAGCAAGCCTTGTTCAATAACATGTATACTGTACATAAGCTTTGCTTAAAAAATTATTACATTACTTTGGATAAGTTGAGGCTGGTTATGAATGATGCCGGTTATGATTTACTGCAGATTTTATTGTATCATAACCCCAATCTTTTGTCTTTCTACAGGAGGAACCTGTGCCGTACCTGTTCTTTGTGAAAGATGCAGAGGTGGTGTCGTCCCTGGGCTCCTGTGTTCAGGAGTTGGGCCTGGAGACTGAGCAGGTGCTGCCGGTTGTGTACCAGCCGCAGGCCGTGTTTCGTGTTCGGGCCGTGGCTCGATGCACCAGCTCTTTGGAGGGCCACACAGAGGCCGTCACCTCGGTGGCTTTTAGCCCTACAGGAAAGTAAGCGGATTAATCCATAACTTTACATTTATATTAAGACAGATACATGTCTAACATATCAGACTGCATGCATCCAAATAAAGCTTTTTTTTGGGGGGGGGGGGGTT